GGTACATAAGAAGCTTAGTGATTATTCGCAGCAAAAGCTTACAGCTTTTTCACTCCTTACTCCCACTCCGGCTCTTGATGGGGTATAATTTGAGATTAAACCCAATTTATCACGATGATAGAAAGGAAGCAATTTAGTGGAACTAAGGGTGAAGACCCAAATCTTCATATTACAGACTACTGTCAGTATTGTAATACCATCATGCAAGCTAGGGTCACACAGGACCTAATTTGGGAGATTATCATTCCTTTCTCTTTATGTGGAAAAGCCAAATTATGGTATAATGGATTAAATAGAACTGCACTTGGTATAACTGACTAGAAGACTCTGGTTTTAAATTCTTATATAAAATATTACCCTACAGAGAGAATAGCAGTACTAAGGAGTGCCCTTCAGAACTTTGCCCAAGAGCCAAATGAAACTCTATATGAGGCTTGGGAGAGGTTCAAGGATCTACAAAGAGAATGCCCCCACCATAATCTGGCACAATGGCAGTTAATCCAAGCCTTTTACAGTGGGATTGGAAATTCATCTAGAATAATATTGGATTCTACAGCTAGTGGGAGTTTTATTAACCTTAATGTTGATGATGCAGGTCAACTTATTGAAGATATGTCAATACATAATTCCCAATATGGGAATTCCAGAGGCTTTACTAACAAAGGGAAACATAGTGTCGACTTTGTATCATTTTTACAAGCTCAATTAACCTCTATTTGCCAAAAATTAGATAATCTTAATACTGCAAATATAGCTAATGTTTCTGCAATTAATAATAATGCTAATAAAGCTTTCTGTGAAAATTGTGGAATTGTAGGTCATTGGGAGCAGGATTGCAGGAGTTCTGTGGAGCAAGTCAATGCCTTTCAAGCTTGTAGGCAGAATGACCATACTCCAACACCTACAATCCTGGGTTCCGGAATCATCCATATATTTCCTACCGGAGCACCAATGTTCAAAATCCGCCACCTCCACAATAATCACAGGCGCCACAAAAACCACAAAAGAAATATTACCACCCCAATGCTGGCCAGAAGAACCAACCACAACAACCCCCCTCATCTTCCGTTCTTGCTTTGGCAGAAATTATAGCGTTGCTGGCTAGTATGCAGAAGCACATGAAGAGTAGATATGCCCAAATTGATTCGATCATAGCACATAAAAAAATGTAGATACTCAAGTTGCGCAGATTTCTGCTACTCTACAAGCCTGTGAACAGGGAGCCCTGCCAGCACAGCCAATTAGGCCTATGGATCAAGCTTTTGCAATTACTCTAAGGAGTGGTTCACAGTATGAAGGCCCCCCTCTGCCTAGAGATGATGAACCTGTTTTAATGAATAATGCTAATATTGATTCTATTAAACCTGACAATGTAGCTAATAGCCTTGTAGGGCTAAAGAGTAGTACTAATATTTTTGATAATACATTGGAGGGTAAGACTCCAGGGAAGGTAGCAGCTCTAGATAAGAGCAGTAATGCTCCAAAGCCAGTTATCAAACTTCCATTCCCCAATTGTCACTTAAAAATAAATTTGGATAAGTAGTTTGGTAAGTTTCTGGAGATGGTTAAAGATTTGCAGGTAACAGTTCCCTTCACTGGATTAATTACACAAATTCCTGCATATGCAAAATTGATGAAGGAAATATTGACTAGAACGAGGTCTATTAGTGAGGTAGAGACAATCACTTTTACTGCAAAACGTAGTGCCGTTGATGAGTGGCATTTATGCCACTCTTTTATCCTTTTTTCTCTTTCCCCTCATCTGCACTTGTTTGGCCCTTTTCTAAGAATTTTTACCTCAGTTTAGTTTTCTTCTTTCCCTTCTCTTTTATCTTCCTTTTTCCTATATTTTTGCCTACTCTTTACTTTGATTTCCATGCCCGTGTTTTGTATGAACCTAGGTCTTCAAAGTGGAGAAAGTTTAAGTCGAATTGGAGATGAGGAAAGCAAGTTCTAGAGGAGGTGTGGTTGAACTCAAGAAAGGTTCGATCGAACCAGCATTATTAGTGTAGAAATTGATTTGCGTAGACTATTGCATGAGAATGAATTGTTTAGGTAGAATCTTGTGTTCTTTGGCGAGTGTTTCATGATAATCGTTATTATTCCCCTCTTTCTAATCATATTTTCCCTTGATTTTAATCATCATTTTCTTTCTTATTTGTAGTTTTAGTGTTCTTGTTCAACAAAACCAACAAAAATAATCCCCTTTTCTCTCTTGCATTAGTGATCATTGATGTTGAGTTAGTGTGCTTCCTTAGTGGTTTTACCCTTTACTTGCCACTAACTAGTTTGGTGTTAGTTTAGGTATTATAAATGATTAATTTGATTAGGGTAGTAGCTTAACGACCTATTTAACCCGTGATCAAATTTTGGCGCCGTTGCCGGGGAAGCGGCTTGATTAGCGTCTACTATTGCTTTTGTTAGAGTCATTTTACTTGCTTTTCTTTTTGTTTTGTTTGTTTTATCATCCTTGTCATTGATAATTGTTTTCTTAGATTTTCTGAATGCTTATTAGGGGGTTTCAAGGAGCACCCTCATATCAAATTGACCACGAGATCAACCGAACCTTAAGACAGGTCCGTAGGCTTTATCAAGACGAGGGAAGAGGTTTTGGTGATATAATTGATAGTGAGAGTGATTCTTACTCTTCAATTTCACAAAGAGGATCAATGGCGGGACAAGAAGATGATGTTTTGTTTTGTGAGTTTGGAAATCCGAAGGATTATGAGCTCACGGGAGGGATCTTGCTACCCATCACGGAAACCAACTTCTCAATCCATCCTCAATATACTAGAATGGTACAATCGGAGCAATTTTCCGAAAGTGAAAGTGAGGACCCTATTGAACATTTGGACCGATTCCTAGAGTTGTGTGCGATGATGCAAACCAATGAAGTGAGTCAAGACTTCATTCGTATGCACCTTTTTCGGTAATCTCACACTAGACGAGCAAAGAAATGGCTAAAGCATGTAAAGCCTAACACTCTCAAAACATGGAGGGTGGTGGTAAAGGCGTTCTTAAAGCGATTTATCTCCGATGAGAAGACCTCCGAAATGATAAGGAAAATTGCATCATTTGAGCAAGAAGCCGATGAAAGTATTGGTGAAGCTTGGGAGAGATTCAAAGAGTTGGTGCAAGAGTGGCCCTACCATGATTACACTCAAGGGTTGCTCATGCGGTTTTTCTACGAAAGATTGGAGCCCATGTCAAGGCTAATTTGGATGTGAGGGCAGGTGGTCAATTAATCAAAATCCCTCAAAATCAAGTTGAAGCCACAATAGAAGAGGTAGAAAAGAATTACTCCTCAGGGGGGGGGGGTGAGGAAGAAATGCTCCAAAGAAAGGTGGTATTTACGAATTAGAGAAAGTTAATAAATTACAACATCAAATTGATCAACTAACAAACGGGCTTTCCAAGTTGAACATGAGTGTGAGTGCAAGTTCAAGTGGTGGAGCAAGCTCCTCTCAAGTTAATTCTTTCTCTTGTCAAAATTGTGGAGGAACGAACCATGATACATCTTATTGTGGAGGTTTGAGCCCCGAGCATGTAGCGGCATACAACATAAGGCAAGAGGGATTTAGAGGAAGCGGCGGTGGAGTAGCTTAGAGACAACCACCACCCAGGTTTGCACCTTAACCTGAACAATGGAACCAACAAGCTCAACCTACCTACAACTGGAACCCTCAAGATCAAAATCCACCTCCATCTCAACCCCAAAACCCAATAGGAAGCTATCCAAGGAACAACCAATACAACAATCAAACCCAAGCACCTCAAAGAAATCAAGAATAAGCACCTCAAGCAGAGCTAACACAAACTCAACTCCTTCAAGCCATGCATGCGCAAATGCAAAATTTTGGGAAAAAATGCAAGAGATAAGAGCTCACAACAAGATGGTTGATTCACAACTAGCTCAATTGGCTAAGAGAACTCCTTTCAATTCACCATCTACTCTACCTGGACAACCACAACCTAACCCTTCTCACAACTCTAAACCCGATACATGCAACGCGATAACATTGAGGTCGGGAACTTCCTATGAAGGACTAAATGAGGGGGATAGTGAGGAAAAGAATGGAGGAGAGGAGAGTGTAAATGAAAACAAGGGAGGTGAGAAAGAAAAAGTTGATGAGATAGAAGGAGGTTCAGAGAAGAAGAAGCTTGACAATGAGAAGACAACTTCAATTCCTAGTGAGGCTAGGAATCTTGATGGACCGGTTCCTTTTCCCGGTCGGCTTGCGGAGAGGAAGTTGAATGACAAGTTTGCAAAATTCCTTAGTGTCATGAAGAATTTGCACATCAGCCTCCCTTTCCTTGAAGTTGTGACACAAAAGCCATCTTACTCCAAGTTCCTCAAAGATATTCTCACCAACAAGAGGAAGCTCAATTATGATCTTATCACCCTTCATCATCAAGTGAGTGCTCTTGGCCAACATAAGATGCCTAAGAAGGAAAAAGACCCGGGAAGTTTCACTTTGTCGGTGAAAATTGGGAACATGGAAGTTAGGGGCGCGTTAGCCGATCTTGGAGCAAGTGTAAGTGTAATCCCTCTATCCATTGCTCAAAAACTTAATATGGAGATGATCTCTACAAGGAAGACAATTCAATTGGCCGATCGGTCGGTGAAATTACCTTGTGGAGAGCTTGAGGATGTTCCAATTCAAGTGGGACACATCTACGTGCCTTGTGACTTTTTAGTGATGGATATGGAGGAAGATGTTAACACTCCTTTGATTTTGGGACGTGAAGTTCTTAAAACTTTGGGGTCGGTCATCAATTGCAAGAACAAAACCATCACATGTGAGGTGGCTGATGAGAAGATTGTCTTTGAGTTTTCTAAGTTGCTTAAGACCCCCATGGTTGAAAAATTCTATATAGTTGATGTTGTTAATGAGGAGCTAGATCGCTTGGGGAGGGTCGTGATGAGGCCTCAAGATCCAATGATAGAAGCTCTAACATGAAAAGAAGAGTTCCACTCTCAAGAGGCAAAAGAGTTTGTCATGGCAATGAAGGAATCCTCAAAGGAAGAGGTTGAACAACAAGTTGAGAACGAGCTTGAGTCCAAGGAGGAGAAATTGGAGGAGAGTTCTAATCCTCCTCCCAAGGTAGAACTCAAGCCCCTTCCCCCTTCTTTAAAATATGCTTATCTTGATAAAGAGGGAAAATACCCTATTATTGTCAATGCTACCCTAGATGGTCTTAATTTGGAAAAACTACTTGATGTTTTGAGAAAATATAAGGATGTGATAGGGTGTAGCATTGATGATATCAAAGGTATTAGCCCTTCATTATGCATGCATCGTATTCATCTTGAAGATGATCATTCCACCTCCATTGAACCTCAAAGAAGGTTGAACCCCAACCTTCAAGAGGTTGTCAAGAAAAAATTTTGAAACTACGTGAGGCGGGCATCATCTATGTTATCTTCGATAGCAAGTGGGTTAGCCCGGTTCATGTAGTTCCAAAAAAGGATGTGTATTGATTATAGGAGGTTGAACAAAAACACCAAGAAAGATCATTTCCCTCTCCCATTCATGGACCAAATGCTTGAGAGGCTCTCTCACCATGCTTTCTTTTGTTTCTTGGATGGGTAATCTGTATTCTTCCAAATATCGTATCCATCCAAGCGATCAAGAGAAAACTACTTTCACATGTCCATATGGGACATTTGCATACCGAAGAATGTCATTCGGTTTATGCAATCCTCCTTCTACCTTTCAAATATGCATGACCTCTATTTTCTCCTAGATGCTTGAAAAAGAAATTGAAGTTTTCGTGGATGATTTTAGTGTTGGTGGCTCGTCTTTTGACACTTGTCTTTTTAACCTTGAAAAAGTTTTGAATAGGTGTCAAGAGACGATTTTGGTTTTGAATTGGGAAAAATGCTACTTCAGAGGAGGGCATTTTCCTCGGCCATAAAGTTTCAAAAAATGGCATTGAGGTTGATCCGTCCAAAGTTTCGGTGATTGAGAAATTGCCCCCTCCTACTTCTATCACGGGAGTACATGCTTTTCTTGGGCATGCCGGTTTCTACCGGAGATTTATCAAAGATTTTTCGTCAATCGCCAAACCTTTGACCGAATTACACAAAAAGGATGTTGCTTTTAAGTTCAATGAGGCTTGCCTTGAGGCATTTCGTAAGCTCAAGGAAGCTCTCATCTCCTCTCCCGTTGTGCAAGCTTCGGATTGAAGCTTGCCTTTTGAGCTAATGTGCGATGCGAGTGATTTTGCAATGGGTGCCGTGCTTGGACAAAAGAAAGAAGGAAAATCATGTGTCATCAACTATGCAAGTAGGACTCTTGATGAAGCTCAAAAGAACTATACAACAACTGAGAAGGAAATGCTAGCGGTTGTTTTTGCCTTTGATAAGTTTAGGTCCTATCTTATTTTCTCTAAGGTGATTGTGTACACGGATCATATTGCGGTGCGATATCTCATGACTAAGAAGGAAGCAAAGCCTCAGCTAATCCATTGGGTTATCTCTCTTCAAGATTTTCACATGGAAATGAGGGACAAAAAGGGAGTAGAGAACTACATTGCGGATCATTTGTCTAGGCTATCTTTTGAGAACAAAAGTGATGTACCAATCAATAATGAGATAGGATTTGAAACTCTCTTGGCTATGGCTTCAACATCTAGCCCTTGGTATGCGGACATTGCTAATTATCTTGCTTGTGGAGTCATTCCCCCGGAGTTTTGTACTCAACAAAAGAAGAGGTTTTCAAGGAAGTGAGGAGGTACTTTTAGAATGACCCATACTTGTTTAAACAATGCGGAGATGGCCTTTTTCGAAAATGTTTTCCGGATCATGAAATCGAAGGAGTTCTTGAGCATTGTCATTCACTACCATGTGGAGGACATGGGGTTGTTGATAAGACGGTGGCAAAAATCTCTCAATATTTATTATGGTGGCCAACTATGCATAAGGATGCCCACAAGTTTGTTTCATAATGTGATAGGTGTCAAAGGAGTGGTGGCATAACCAAAAGAGATGAAATGCCTCAACAAAATGTCTTAGAAGTTGAGCCCTTTGATATTTGCGGGGTGGACTTTATGGGGCCTTTCATTTCTTCTTGTGGAAATCTATATATATTGGTAGCGGTTGATTATGTGACAAAATGGATTGAAGCCATACCCTCACCTACCAATGATCACAAGGTTGTGCTTAAGCTTCTTAAGAAGATCATTTTTCCTAGGTTTGGGGTTCCGAGGGTGTTAATTAGTGATGGAGGCTCCCATTTCGCCAAAAAGCAATTTGAAGCTCTTCTCAAGAGATATGGCATTCATCACAAGGTTTGATTACCTTTCCACCCTCAAACTCAAGGACAGGTGGAGGTCTCGAATCGTGAAATCAAGAATCTACTTGAAAGGATGATGAACAAATCAAGGAAAGATTGGTCTCTCAACCTCGATGACACACTATGGGCTCTTAGGACGGCGTACAAGACTCCGATCGACACGACCCCCCTATAGGTTGGTATACGGAAAGGCTTGTCACTTGCCGGTTGAGTTAGAATACAAGGCTTGGTGGGCCATCAAGGAGCTCAATATGAATTTATCTTTGGCCGGTGAGAAGAGATTGCTTAAGCTTAATGAACTTGAAGAGCTTAGAGATGATGCTTATGAGAGCACAAGATTATATAAGGAGAAGACCAAAAAGTGGCATGACTAACATATACAAAACAAGAGCTTTAAGGTTGGAGATAAGGTTTTGCTTTTCAACTCTAGGCTTCGTTTGTTTCCGGAAAAACTCAAGTCCAAGTGGTCGGGTTCTTTTGTCATATGGAAGACTACTCCTTATGGTTCTTTTGAATTAGATGCGGATGGTATCAAGTTTATGGTCAATGGTCATCGTTTGAAGCACTACTTTTGCAAGGAAGAAGTTGGTCTCATTAAATGTCTAATGCTTGATACTTTGGATCCTAAGCCTCCCCCTTGATGAATTTTTCTCATGGTAAAGCTAGTGACCTCATAAAGAAGCCCTTCTCGGGAGGGAACTCGAATGTCTAACCCTTTTCTACTCTTTTCTTTTTTCTTAATGCTTTAATTTTTCTATCTACAATTTTGGATTGATGGATTTACGTGTTTTTAGGATTTGGTTGAGTTGCAATCGTTGGTATGCCTTGCCTTTAGCACGATTGTATGGTGTTTTAGTGTGTTTTGAAGAGGGGTTTTTGTGTATTTTTTGCTGCAAAATGAGCATCTTTGAAAAATTAGGTGGTTCGACTGAACTCCCTGAAGGTTTGGTCGAAATTTGTGAAAGGTTTGACCGAACATTTTTGAGTTCGGTCGCACCTACTCTGGAAGCTAAATCTAAAAACTTTCTGCCAGAATTGCAGAAATTAAGGATTCAGAGTAGGTTCGACCAAACACATGGGGGGTTCGACCGAACATACATGAGTATGGTCACACCTCCTCTAGATTAAAAAAACTGGAAACTTTCTGCCCATTTTGTGATTTCAGCATTAGAGAGCAGGTTCGACCGAACCTTGAGCAAGTTCGACTGAACTCTTGGTAAAGTTCGACCAAACCTACCCAGGGTTCGACCGAACTTTTTTCGGGGTTATTTTTGTAAAATGAGGGAAAGGGCCGCACATCATCTACTTCTATCTTACCCTCATTCAACCCACTCTCTCTATCCTCCTCTCCTTCTTACTCTAAAACTCTAATGCCACACCCAATTTCAACCTCAAACCTCCATGCAAATCACTCCAATGTCCTCTATTTCTCACTTATTTTTCATCCTTCACTCAATTTCTACAATCTACACCCAAAATTCCTCACAAAACCCCACCTTTTCAATTTTCCCTAATTTCTAGGGTTTGAGTTAGTTGTTATTTTTGGGTTTCTACTTGATTCCAATCAATTGGGGTATGTTTTTTCTAGCTTTTGCAAGTTCATTATGTCAATTTCTTATAGTTTTACCATGTTTTATATGTTTAAGTATGAATTGTGGTAATATTGAGATTGTTAGTAATGACTTGTTTGATGTTTGTGGTTCAAGGGATTTCCTTGTGCAATTGATTGGTTATCGATAGCAGAACTTGTTTTACGATGATTATTCATGTATACCTTGATTTTATTTGGTTTCAATGTATTTACTTGAATATGTTAATTTCACATTAGGTTGTTCATGCTACTACTTGTTGATTGAGAAATTCATGAGGTGGATGTAGTTTTGAGATTGTTATTCATTTTTCTTTGTTTGAAGTTGATGGTTTGTGAGTGATTATAATGAATTTAGGGGACATCATGCCGAATTTCACCTAGAATTTCTTAGGATTTGCATATGAATGCCAATGATCTTTTTATTCTTGCCTTGGTTCATAAGTGTTTATTAATGCCTTGAATTGTATTGTTTTTATCCTCTACATCAATTTAACAATTCATGGCTATTACTTGGAAAGCCTTTTTTATGGCGCCTATTGGCTTGCATCTTCCTAATGATATTCTTGATTATTTTTTTAGAGTCATTATGTTTGGCAAGGGCAAAAGCAAATCCAAGAGGAAGAGGGCGGGTGAGCCTTCAACACCCTCTTTCCCTCCTCCGCCGGGAATCAACGATCACGGCATCATTGCTCCTAATTAGCATTAATGGAGTGTCTACCAATCACTCATCTCTTGTCCAATTAGATCAAAATGGTTTTTCTGTGCTACAACCTTAAGAAAACTCGGCATCTTGGACGAAGTGGTCCGGCTTGCCAAAAACTTTGGGTGGGTTGACTTCATCAGCCTTTGCCCTCATACTGATGAGCGAGTTACATTACAGTTCCTTGCTTCTCTCCGCAAGGAAGTAATAGAAGAGGATGATGATGGAAATGAACCTCAGCTTGTCATTCATTTCCGCATGTTCAATGAGGATCATTCTCTAACTCAGAGTGATCTAAATAAAATCTTCCATTGGCATGCAACTGGGCTTGATCACCCATATAAGATGACCTCAACTCATTGCATCCCATATAACGAGCAAGAGTGGTGGAGGAGCATATCCACCAAGGCCAATTTCCGCACCAACACTGCCAAAGTCAACAACATCATCCATATTGCCATGAGATACTTCGCTCGGCTTCTTCAATATGTCGTATTCTTCAAGGAACATCTCGGCTCTATGGTAAAAGATGAGGTGGCTTGCCTCTTTTTGGCCGACAACCCTCAGTGCACAAAGTTCCAACGCTCCTCCACTTTCATCCAACGGCTTTTGGACACTCGTGATAACCGTCTAAGTGACGACATTCACATGGGGGGCATGATCACTCTTATTGCCCTTTCCTTGAAGGATGAGGCCTACAAGGACTAAATCAATTTGCTCCCCTACGTGCTCCAAAACAGATAGGAAGCAGCTGAAGGGTGTCCTCCTTATGCTCTTTCCATCATTGCTCTCAGTCAACAACGCTTAATTAACTACACAACCAACAAACGCAAGTTTATCCTCTTGGTGAATAAAGAAGAAGAATGGTGTGTCCTACCAGATCTCGATCTCATTTCGATGGACCATTCCGATCCTCTATGATGGAGGATCACCCGGAGGTTCATACCGGACGAGTTGTGGAGGAACTGGACCCGAGGTGTTATTCCACATCCTCAACCGGTCCACCACCCGGAGCAATCCGTCTCCCCCTTCAGTGGGGGAGGTGAGGCATCTTCTTTTTCTTCCCTACCTCCTTTTGATATGGATGCCCTCCGTAGTACCCTCGAGGATATCCGCCGTGATAACCAAACTTCCATTGAACAATAGGGGTACTACGGAAGGATGAATTATGACAATCTTGTGCAAGCGGGCGTTTAAGCGCCCTATGTTAACTATCCTTACCACCAACCTCAAGAGGGTCTGGTTCCTCATTGGGACCCCTATAACCCCAACAACCTTACCCCCAATATCTACCCCTATTAGGAAGGTCCCATCGACCCTTCCCAACGTATTGGCACCCCACCTTACGATCCATATCGCTTGGGTGGATGTAATCTGGCCTATGACCCGACATCTACATCCACCCAAACCCCTTTTGATGGCGGTTGGGGTGACAAGGGGTGGCCCTATGAGAATTTCAACCAACCTTTCCACCCATTCATGGATACTCTCTGGTTTGATTTTGATAACCCCCCTAGGGAGCAAGGAACTAGGAACCCGAGATGAGGGTTCCCCTATCTCCCCCCCCCCCCACCCCGGAATTTCTCGTTTTTAATTTTAGC